CCCCTCTGCTCCCCACCTCTCCCTTCCAGCCCCTCCTTCCTCCAGAAATTCTCAGTTGCCCTGTCTGAGCCTCCCCCTCCTCCGCTCTTTGTAAAACTGACCAACATCTCAGCTTCCTCTCTGGGCTCTTCACATTCTTCCCTGTTCTCTCTTTTTCTAATTCCATGGCAAATGCAATGCTACGGATGTGTTGATTTTTTAAATCATAGAATCTTTTCAAGTAAGGGTAAGCATATAAGATTAAGAGTACAAAACGCCTTGGATAGCACCTGGAACTGTTTCTCAATGAATGGTCACAGTGGTGTTGTTATACTTACGACCCTGCGACTCGCTGGAGAAATTCATGTCGGCATCCTGTCCCCACCCGGGTGGCGGCCTTTTGACACTCAGAGGTCCTCACTTTTGCCCTTCACCTTGCCTGCTATTAGCCATCGCTCCAATGGCCTGAAATCACAAATGTGGGAGCAGTGTCTCCTTTGCTGCAGTCATAATACAGTTTGATGCAGTGGCTGAATCTTGCAAACAAAAACGAACTTAAAAGAAAACATCAGACATCAGTGTCAGAAAGCAGAGGAAGGGTTCTTAGCGCCTTTGCAAACAATGTGCAGCTTCCCATGGCCTTTGAGCAGCTGAAAAGGGAGCAGTTTTATTTTCTTTTTTAAATGTTAAAAGTTTATTTCTTAGTGGAATTAAGCCCACCTCCTCCTCAGAAAAAAAAAAAGCCAAAGATGATAAATAGAAAACAATCAAGTTTATTTTCTGATGGGAATCTGTTATGCTCTAGAAGGGGAACTGATTTAGGTAGAGACTGGCCTTGGACAAGGACCAGGACCGTGCTAAACTGGATGAATTCTAAGGCTCTCTCAGCTTTGATTTAAAAACTTCATTTTTTTCTGGTCAGATGTGGTTCTTTTTTCCCTTCCTCTCTTTTCTCTGCAGCTGCTTTTCTGAGGGGACTGAAATGGGGAAAATACTGTTTTATTAGAAATAAATTATGTTTGGGCACGGCGTTTATCATGGGGTGTGTGTGCGCACGCTTTAATCTAGAGTGGGATCTTAGGAGGTCTCTTTTGGCTGCAAACAGCGCTCCTTTGCAGGGAGTGCCCAGTTACAGAGTGTTCATCCCGTTTCAGATTATGAACTTGAGACCTCCAGGCCACCAGCCTCCACCAGGCCCCCCACCACGGCCGCCACGCCTGCCGTCATCCCAGCAGAAGGCACCATTAGCTCCTTCCCCGAGGAAGAGTTCGACCTGGCTGGGAAGAAGCGATTTGTTGGTAAATAGGCCTTTCTTAACCAGAGGAACGGGGTTTTAGCTTGGGCCCTTTGAAGACGCGCATAGCCAGCCCCCTGGCCTGGCCGAGGAGGCCCATGTGGAGCAGACACTTTCCCAGAGTGAAGTTTCCACTTGGGGCGACCAGCGAGTCACTCCTGTTGCGACCACAGGGACTCTCTGCAGACAGCAGGAGAGGGGCGCATGCGGGGACTTGGACAGAGTAGAGATGGACTGATCTGTGTGGCCTGAGAGTAAGGGACACTAGGGAGTATCAGGTCGGGAACACAAGTATTTTTGTCACGGCCAGTGTCTGAGACGGGACTTCCTCGGGGCTCGCAGAGATGAGCACTGACCAACTGATGGTAGCCCGGAGCCAGGGCTTTCCTCTGAGTCACTGCCTCTCTCATTAGCCTCGAGGCCTTGGGACCCATGAATTTATCCTCCTTTTTGGCAGCTACGGAGACAGTTTTGAGAGGAAACTGTTTTTGCTAAACTGTGTTCCACTCCCTTTGGGAGTCTTCTTTTCCCACGTCCTTAATAAACTTCACTAACGAGGCACTTAGATTAATATCTTAGTAGAAAAAAATAATATATGACTAAGTAGACTGGCAACAGCTTAAACTAATATCACACTCTTTTGTTTCCAAAACAAATGCTCTGCTATAAGCAGAGAACAGCTCTTGCCAGCCAAGATGTAGTTCTGAGTGTCTCAACGACACGCACTTGAAGAGTGAGAGTAATTAATGTGAGGCGGCAT